CAAAACCACTGGCGGGGGGGCAAGGGGACCCACCGAGCCCACGGGCTGCGCCGGGACTACCTGTCCATGGTGATCTGCCAGTAGGTCTCAGCAGAGAGGGGGATCCAGGCGATGCCGTTGACGGTGTAGGAGGAATCGATGGCGCCAAAGAGGACAAAGCTGCTGCTCTGCTCTTCCCTGCAAAGGGGGAGGCGTCAGGTGGGGGTCCCGCCCCACCACCAACCACCCCACTGGCAGCGCCACCACCGAGGGGGCGGCTTTGCTGCCATCATCCTCTGCCGGTCGGTGAGCCGTGTCCTCCCGGAGCCACCACCACCGGGGAACGGTGCCAGAGCCAGCCCCCGTGGGAGGGAAATGGGAGAAAATCCTGGGCAAGGGCTGGGCAGCTCCGGCCAGGGCTTACTTGCTCAGGTAGACGGAGAAGAGGTCCCTGGCCACGAGGTCTTCAGACATCATGTTGTCAAAGACAGGGGTGGCTCCAGAGGAGGAGATGCTGGGGAAAGCCAGCCCCAGGATGCCATCAAAGGGGGCGTAGTAGAAGAAATTGCCAGGCTCGGTCTCAGACAGCCCGAAGATCTGGTTGAGGATCTTGATGTCTGCGACCTGGTCAGGGAGATGGGGAGAGGAAGAGGGGCTTGGTTTGGGCAGGCGGCACCCCGGTGTCCCCGCTTTGGTGGGATGGGGGGGGGCGGCGTGCCCCGCCTTACGGTGACGGTGTCGTAGCCCAGGATGCCGGTCATGCTGCCAGTGCCGTAGACGATGGAGACGGTGTCGTTGGTGCTGATGAAGGAGGAGGATTCCGCTGGGTTGAAGCGGTTGTGGTTGCCTGTGGGTAGGGGAGGGAGACGGTCACCTTCTGTCCTGCCCTCAGGGACCAAGGGTGGCCCTCCGGTGCCTCCCCCGTTGCCCGATGTCCCTTGGGAGGACCGGAGCAGAGTCCTCCTCGGCTCCCAGCCCCACCAGGGGAGCCAGGCAGGTCAGGGGGCTGCCCAAGCCCAGGGCCACCCCTTGCCCAGCCGGCCACGGGGCTGCCAGGCACTTACTGCAGGACGGGCTGGAGCAGTACACGGAGGGCACCCACAGGTTGGAGGAGCCAGTGTCAAAAATAACAGTGAAATCCTGGGCTGGGGTGCCGATGGAGATGGTGCCGAAGTACTCCATCTGTCAAAGCGGGGTGGGTAAGGGATTAGGGGGATGGATAATGGGCTAGCAGGATGGTAATGGGCTATGGGGAAGGGTAAGGGGCTAAGGGGATGGGTAAGGGGCCAGTGGCCCCGCGGGCTGGGTGCCAGCCCCTCATGCTCACGTCCATGTAGTTCTGCAGGGGCTCGACGGAGAGGAGAGTGGGGAAGTACTTGGAGGCCGGGTTGTAGGGGTGCTGCTTCAGGTAGTAATCCAGCAAGCCATGCTCCTTCAGGGCCTGCCGCAGGGACTTCGCCCTCCTCAGGGGGACCCTGGGGTGCAGGGGAGAGAGGACCCGCTCTGTCACCGGGAGCTGGGCAGGGAGGTGCCTTGGGGGGCGGCGGGGACCCCCCGCCATGCGCTCGGTCCCACAGCCCCGG